CCATAAATCGCACAGGAAAGAGATTGTGCATCTTTCTCCCATGAAGGGTACAGTGGACTAGAATTACATACCTTTGGGTTGTCAGTTCACTGTCTTACCACTAAGCCACCAGATCTGTAGTTAATTAAAATAATATAATGATTTACAGCTTATAAATAACTGTCATATACTTCATCTCAGGAAAATTTCATGAGGTGGAAAGAACAGAGAATTTTATCTTTTTTTTTTTTTAAGATATAAAGTAGAGAGAAATTTATTAGAAATTTACATTCCAAAGGAAAGGACAGCGTTTCCTCCTTGGAAAAGAAGTAATGGAGGAGGTCAAGTGCCACTGAGGTGAGGCTTCCTGGACTGGATGGGCCTTCAGAAAAGTATCTTTTAAACAGCGTATGTGAGCTCAGGCAAGGTCAGATCACATGGCCACCAAGTAGAATGTGGGTTATGCTGCTCCCCCAAAAACCATCCCCTCTGCCCCCCGGCTGTCAGAACCAGCAGTTCTGTAGGGGAAATATGGGAAATCTCCTTCTGTGCAACTTATACTTCAGGAAACCTGCTGGAGGGTCAGCTGTGAGGTGGTTCAGACTTGACAGTGATGAGTTTTTTTTTATTTGATTTGTACATTGTTGTGGGTTTGGTAGTATTTTCACCATTATAGTATTAGATGCTTCAAAGTTCAGTTTTTTCAATTGTTTAGAAATTCCTAGTTCAAGAATGGAAAATTTATCACATGTTACATATAAAGTTGAGGTTCTTTTCCCCTCTTCAGAACTGCAGTAACTATTTTCTGGGTATTTTCAAAGTGTGGTTTCAGACTGGCAGCACGTGAGGTCTTAGAATGGAAAATGTGTGGCCTAACAATCTTGATTACAATACAGATTAGGTCTAGGTGTAGGGTCCAAACATCTCTGCTATCTTCCCTCTAGGGAATTCAGAAGTAGCACAAGTTTGAGAACCACAACTCCAATTCATATGCTCACCCTGTTTTCTCATAACTGGTCATTTCCCTTTCTTAGAGTAATGAAGAAAATGCAGAAGCCACTCAGAATCCATGTTATAGCTTTGAGTCTGAGAGCCAAGTAAATCCATGACATACTGCTTATCTCATTTTTTAATGTTTGAGTTCTCTAAGTGTGACCCTCTTTAAAGCACATAACATTTTTTAGAAAATCTGTCTTATTTTAATTATAACTTTGTAACAGCCTTTGTTACTTTCTTTTTTCAAAATTTTTTACTACTTTATTTACAAAATTTGAACATGGAACTTGAAAATGTCATCGTTGTTATGCACTGTTGAGTCAGAACGGACTCATAGCCGACCTGTTAGTGGGATTTTGGAGGCAGGAAATCGCATGGAGCAGCTGATGGACTGAAGCCACATATGCCTTTGAGTTAGCAGTGTAGGCAAAAGCTATTAAGGTCCAGGACAGCAAAGTTTTGAATTAGGTTGACTTTTAATTAAAAACTGCAATTTAAAATAAAAGTATACAATGTGGCTAATGTTTTCAATCTCTTATTCAAGGTAACTGACTATCTCTCCACTCCAACTCCTACCCTTGAAAGCTCAGTAACTGCAAAAAAGGACATTCATGTGGACAGGAAACCTATTCCTGAACAAGATTCCTCCAGTCCTGGCCAAATCAAATTGGAAGTATTCTCATAAATCATAAAGGTGATACAAAGTATGCATTTTAAAATTATCTTTTAATGATAATTTTAGAAAGTTAAATATAGAATTCAGAGTGTCTGAAGTTCAGAGATATTTTTATCTATTCCTTTTGATTAACTTCCCAAATTTTTAAGTTTCAAGTCCCTAGAGATTTCCAGTAGAAAATGTGGACTCCCATGCGGATGTGTCATTTTCATCTTATATGAAGTAACTCTGTGTGTATGAATATATACAAATTACAAGGCATCGTTCAGATCTATTGTTCATAGTGTCTCTGTAAGTTGCAGATGACTCAACCAACAGCTCATAACAACTGCAGGAATCAATTACTTGAGGAAAAGGAACCATAGAGTTGCAATGTCAAGTGCTTGGCTGAAAACCAAAATGTAAATGATTCAAACCTACCAGTCATCTATAAAGATTTACAGCTTGGAGACTCTCTGGAAAAGTTCTACTCTCTCCCATGAGGGTGGTATGGAGTTGAAAGTCAACTAGATGGAAATGAGTATTACTTTAGGATAATATTACTAATTTAAGGATTCTCTCAAATGTTTTAAAATGTATTCCAAATAATATTTCCAATAATATTTCACAAAGAGAAAAGCATAATATTGCCTTTCAAGGTTAAAACCTTACACACTTTCAAAATTACTTTTTTCCTACTGAAATAACACGCACACAAAATTACTTCTCAACTCCTTGAATGAGGGAAGCCAGAGGGATATAAAATCCACGAACTGTGCTGCTTCTGTTATTAATGTGCTTATATAAGAAAGACTGTCGGCTTTCAGTACAACTACAAGACCTGCAAGTCATGTGACTGACGAAGCGGCATAGAGCTTGCACAGCACTTGTGCACCGACGGCTGCTGAGTGACAGATTTAATCGGGTTAGTAGACTTTTGCCCAACACAGCACTTCAATTGTTTTACCCCCCTCTCTCTCTCTCTCTCTCTTTCTCTCTCTCTCTCTATATATATATTAGGTATCACTTACTGAAAAACTCTTTGCAATCATATGAAGATTGACTAATAAATTGCTACTGCTTCTAAAGAGAAACAGGAAAAAATGGAATATAAAGATTCTTTTCAAAGAAGCATATAGTCTCATAGAACTTGAAACTACTTACATTATATCATGTACATACTAAATCTGGAAAACAAATGTTTTACACACATACATACATACATACATACACACTCTCTCTTAGATTTTATATCTTAAATTTAGGAATAATTTCTAAAGCATTATAAAGACTAATTACAATGTTTTCCAACTATTTTTTTTTGAGGTATCAACATTGTCATTGTTTCAACCTAGGATTTGCTCATAGTGTCAACACCAAATAAAGCTCTCAAAAAGGAAGGTTTATTCTTCCTGCCAACAGCAAACACCAAAGCCAACTCATATTCATAATTACTCATCATTGAAACATGTTTTGACATGAATGACTCAGCAAACATGGGGATCTGCCAACTGGTACAAACCGATGCAAAGCGAGAGAAACCTGACAATTACAGCGATAAACAATGATTCTTAGAAGATTCAGGTAAGTATGCTATTGTCTGAAGAAGCATGACAATTATGACAATTAATTCTCTTCCTTAAAGATTCCTCAACAGCTAAAGGGGAAAACATACACCCAAAAACCAAAAACACAATAATCCCGCCCCCTCCCCCCAGGCTTTCTATTCCAAAGAACTCTGTAAAATTTTATACTTTTTTTTAACATAAAGTTTAGTTACAATAAAATGCTTTAGGAAAAAAAAAAAGGGAGGGCATGTTTTACGACAGGTAAATAAAGAAAAAAACCTTCTACTTGGTGAGGAAATAAAATGAAAAAGATAACAAGTTTTTCATTTCATCTCATAAAGACATGTATATAGATGAATGTTCTCATAATATCTTCAATCATGCTTCATTAGTTAATTCATCAGGTAGGTCTAGCGCTTTAATCAGAATTTCACTCTACCAACAGGCCCAGTGGAAGGAGGCGACTCACACACCTCAAGTAATTAATCTGGCATAATTAAAATTATCATTAATGGACTAGCAGAGGCCTTGAGCTCCAATCCCACTTACCTTATTAATTCAACTGACAATCTGGCACTAAGTTGCTTAAATACAGGACTGTGTCCATGCGTCCCCTCCACCCTGTTTCATTCACGCGCAGCAGAGAGATGATGAGGCAAGGGCACTCCGGCTTGAGCGGACCTCCTAATATCACTCAGTCCCGCTTGTGGAGATGCCTTTGTTTGGCTAATTTTCTCAAGAAGACTGTTTTCCTCAATTATTCCAGGCCTAACAAGCAAGTTTCCAAGCCAACTATTTCAGGTTACTACCTTCTGATGGTCATTTGTTTTCTATTAGAAATAGATACTGTGGCTCCTTTAATGAAATCACCGTGGTGCAATCAAGCTACATGGTTAGGAAATAGTCCACATTCAGTTTCCTCTCCCTAATTCCTGAAAGCTTTCTTTGTGACCTCTTCATCTGTACAAGCCCTCTTGAATTCTTTTTCTCCCTTCACCTGAGCTTTCGTCACCCTTAGGTCCACCCTCAGATGCAGTGTCACTTGTACAGTACATGAATGTGCAGTTATCTTGCCTCCAATTAATGAAGACATCAGGGGCTAATGCCAAATCAGTCATGTGGGCTGAATACCTCCCGTCACCTGGTTTGCCACTGTATGGGCCATTAAACAGTTTTATTTCACCTTATGGACACATCAGAAAGCCAAGCTGGACAATTTTCAAATTACAAACAGCACTGAAAACTGTTAAATTAACGCCTTCTATTTTGTTGTTGTTGTTTTAAAAATAATCACTAAACTTATGTAAAACCATCTGAGCAATTAAGTTGGGAAAACAAAAAGATATGTTTTAAATGATTCCATTTTTTTAAAGCCTCTCTCCCTTTCTCCATTCTCCCAAATGGTACTAAGATACACTAATGGTGTTTGTGGTTGTAGTGCTCTTCAAATATGAAATAATACATTTTCTTGCTATATTTTAGATACTTATTTCATAATTTTCTAGCCAAACTATTATTGTTGTTTTGATCCACTTTATACATGGTACACTGACTTTTCTGAAAATTTTCTTATGTAGTTTGAGTTTTATTTTATATCATGCTTAGATACAAAATATATGTTTACATCATGCAGAAATCAGTGGATCGGAAGAGTGGAAAGGGGAGGCTTAGCTGTTCTCAAATCTCTCTCATTCAGACAGGCTAATGCAGCAGCTGCCAAGGGGAGGGATGGACACTCAGAGGGCTGGAGTGGTCAAATATCTACAGTGAACAGCAGAAAAGGTATGTAAGTAATCACTTACCTCCTTTTGATCAACAATTATTTCGAGGTCTTCATCACTGCTTAGTTTTCCATATCCTTTTTCTTTACTTTTCTTGTGAAAGAATAATTTTAAATGATCATTTAGTTTCTTCCATTAATAATCTTAATTCCCACTTAATACTCTTAAAAGATAAAAGTCTTTCCTTAGTCTTGTTCACAAGTCACAATGGATCATGCTTTATGTCAGTCTCTCGTGTATGCCAGCCAAAGTTAATACTACTAAACAGCTGGCTTACAGTTATTCATTCATGATTTCTAATTAGCTTTTCCCATCTAAATCATGCCTGAATACTCTGATGTTTCTCTTTTTAATTCTTTAGTTTCAGAAAAACTTTGAGATATATAAGCAATTCCTTGAAGAATCCCACCAGCACAACTTCCTTAAAGACTGAGAATTAATTTAGCACTTATATCATACTTATGATTAAAACTATTGTAAGTTTTTATTTTAATATCATAAACACCCTTAAAATAAGAGATGAATTAAACAACTTACTTAAACAACCTTCATATTTACTAAATTTTCTTGCAAGTCCCATAAAAATTAGTATCAAAAAAACAACTTAGTAATGACATTTTAGAAGAAAAAATAATGCTCAAAATTAGGAAGTTCTGAAAGTTGGAAGATTACAATCTTCTGAAATGCATTTTTGGCATTTTGCCTTTTTCTTTTCCTCCATGACCATTTCCCACCTATTTTCCTGATAGCAAAATCTGTATTATAAATGTGGGAGTTAGAAAAGGACATAGGTCATGACAACCATTGTACTTTTGTGCTACAGCAGAAGACATTATGTCTGAATGAATAAATAAATATATGCGTATATGCACTTCCCCCCCCCAGTGCAATGGCTGCTGGGAATACTAGTCGGCCATGCTGTTTTTTTTAATAACCTCAGAGACCAACGACTCTTTGTAGAGGACCAGTAACAAATGGAAAAGAAAAATCCCTAGTTACCTGTGTCGAAGGTTACTATTTTTTTTTTTAAAAAAGAATCCTTGCTTTTAAGTATTAACTATATTAATCAGAACTTAAAAATTCTTGTGCATTAATTGTCATATCAAACTCCTAATTTTTCAGGGAAGAAGTACGTTCTTCAGCTAATATGATATAATCTTGCAGCACAATATTTTTTCTTTCTTCTCCTTTAGATTACACACATAGAGAGCTTCTATTTTTATGTTTTACTGTAATAAAGAGACTTCTGAATCTTCCAAGTATTAGGATACATAAATAAAACCTGACTTCTCATTCATATATTAATGAATTTAACCACTTAGAACAGAACAGATGGCCACAGTTTTTCTCCCTCTTATTATTCTTATCCTCATTTGAGGCTCCATTTCAGATTAATGGAAAACAAAATGAATCTGATTGGTTCCAATCAAGTCTACTTCCTTCCTACTACTTTGATTCCATATCCTTTTAGTCCATTGGTTGCCATAAGGTATTGTCCAGGGACCATCTAATGCAAACGCTTTGAAATGCCTTTCTATTATTGATCTGTATACGTACCAAGTAGCTCATTTGCATGACTGGATTGCTGGACAAAAGGACATTAAGTAGAGATGGAATGTGAGTCCTTCCATCCATCTCACTGTCAGACATCCCAGAATTCTTTGCACCAGCAGCAGTGGCTTCATTGCCAGAACTTGCTGACCAGGAAACCACAGATCTTGCTCAGCAACAATATTTATAATGTACAACAATAATTGAAGTTTCCCTGAATCACTGTCTTGACTTTGTAAAAGCAGAAATTCGGGGCTAGAAAGTCATTGAAATTAAACTTCGTTTTTTCCTAAGTAATTTTAATCTAAGCACTTCTATGCTCAACAACTCTTCTAGTTTGAAGCTATTTTTTAAAAAAAATATTATTACTTATTGAATACATTAGGGTAGTTCATTCCATGAATATGGACTATTCAGCCTCTTTGTTGTAAAAGCTCTTATTTTTCTTTCTTCTTAACCTCCCACTCTGGCTTTTGGGACAATCAGTAATAGATAAAACAATGCCAGCATTCACAGAACACAATTGAAGATTTCAGTTTCTGCTGATACCAAATTTCATTTCTCCGATTTAATGCCAACTCCTTATCAGATTTAGCAGTACATTTTCGGAGAAAGAGGCTATAGGTCAGGGAAGGAGAGCATGTCCCCTACTACTGCAAGTAAAAGTTGGCATTTTCCAAGAGTAGGGGGAGGCATTTAGAACCCTAATTCTGTATTTATGTCCCTTGTTTCCAAAGCACAGCGTTATATGGAACCAGCAGTTTTACAGCTTTACCTTAGTATTAAGCAATATTTCCTAGTTCACCCCATAACCCCAGGGGGGTTAATCCTTTTCTAAGCCATAATGGCATTCACTCACTTACTGCTTATTTCTAGTGCGAGCATAATCCTCTTTCAAGCACTCAGCTTCCCACTTTGACTGCTAGATCAGCCAGCCCGGGCAGGGATCTTCAGCTCTCCTCCCTCCTCCCTGCCGGGGATCCCTGTCTTCTCTCTTTGCACTTTTGCCATGCACAAAAAAAAAAAAAAGCAACTCCCTAGCTTCTGCCTTTCACATGAGTCAAAGCACTGAACTATAAGCAGAAAGCCAGCTACCTCTGCACTGTCCAAGCGGGAGGGGCAGGGCTTCTGTGGGAGGAGTCACTTCCTGTGCTCCTCCCTTCTCCCAGGCCAGGACGCTCACGCGGAGCTTTCCAACTGAGGCAGGAAGTTAGAGCCTTGCGGTCCCACTTCAGCGCGCTGCCAGCTTCGGGCAGACGTGGTGCCTCCTTCCCCTGGGCACCTCTGGGAAGGGAGCATTGGAAACATGGGGCTAAAGGATGAGGGCTTTAAGGTGAAAGAAGAGAGGGAAGGGAAAGAAAATAGTCTTCATTCCCTGACTCAGCTCATAATACAGGTGTTCAGTCCCTGAAACCCCCACAGCAGTGCCCCCCCCATCTTCCCTACACTATTGAGCGCTCCCTAGCAAGCCTTGGGAACAGTAATCTATTTAAGGCCTTCCCACCACTTGGGATTTCTGTGTCGGGTGAAATAAACTTTGTTAGTGCTGATAGCCTTTAAAACCATTAAATAAGATTTATCCTCTGTAGTTTTCTTAAGGACATGGAACCTGAACTGATAACCTTTTCTGTCTGCAGACATTCCACCGTTGCTCCTGGAACCTCTCTACCCTTTATCACTTATTCTCTCGCCAACAAAAGTAGAGCAGAAACATACAGTGGAATTGAAGAAACTAGTGAACTTGGAAACAGTACATTAAGACAGAACTTTATAGCCACAGATGTAGAATACAGGAAAAGTTTGCAGGTAAACAAAATCCAAACCATACAAATTAATAGTACAGAAAACTGAAAAATGAAGCTATTTATGTTCATTTCAGAATAAAAGTTTTTTAAAAATGAAAAGTTTTAATTGAAAGGTATTAGTATATGGATTGAATCAGAGCAACTCTTCATATTCCAGGGAGCTGTGGTGGGCTAGTGGAAAGGACTCATGCTGCCATCTCAGAGGCACGTAGTTTGAATCCACCAGCTGCTTTGCCAGAGGAAGATGGGCAGTCTCCTTCCAGCGAATAAACTGCCTCTGAAAACCTGCTGGAGGGTTAACTATGGGTCAGTTCCAACTCAACAGAACACAACAACAGCATCTCATTTATGAGGAATGGAACATATTACAGAAATTTTGAAAAGGAAAAAGAACATTGGATTTATCTAATTGCACAAATTAGCTTCAATATCAATTTTTCCTAATTATGCATGTCAAAATAAATATAAAAGGCAAAGATTAGAAACTTTTTGCTATTTATGAATTATATAGAGTAGGTGTACTTTTAGTAAAGCAAATGCCACGTGCAGAACATATAGCAAAGCTATAAGAAGAATCTTGGTTCGCAGTGTTCAATTTTATTCTCTTATTTCCCTACTCCTAATATCTTTATCTCCATCATCTTATTTCTCTTAAAATGCAAAATTCTTAACTTTTCTCCTGTCCTAAAAGATGATTTCCTCATATCTTCTTTCCCCTATAGACATTAACCTAATTTCTCTTTTTTGCCAACTTCATTTTTTATTTTATATTGGATTGCACACAAAATTCATACACATTGTGTGTCACTTATGTATATCGTGTTTCACACATTCCTACATTCATACTGTGTTTCAAACAATCACACATATACATTGTGTTCTATGCAGCCCTAAGGAACAAACAACGATTTTGTAAAATATTATATAAGGGAGCTTTAGTGGCCTAGTAGTAAGAAACTGCATTGTAAAAAAGGCACACAGCTGCTCCGCAGGAGGATAGGAAATCTCCTCCATGTGATAAAAATGCCACTGAGAACCCACGAGAGGGTCTGCCATGGATCAGTTCCAACTCGATGGTACTCAACAACAACATACAACATGGAAGAGTCTAGAGAGCATTATGCTGAGTGAATGAACTCAGTCTCATAAGGACAAATACTGCATACGATCATCACTGTAAAAATAGCAAAAGACCATTACTGTAAAAACAGAAGGATAACTACTAAGATGTGTATAAAAGTCTAAAATGGAAAGTAGAAGGGGTAGGAAGGCAGAGGGTGGGTAGGGGAGGAAATCCTAGAATAACAGAGTTTGGTGGGAAGGGGGTAGTGAGTGAAGGAATTAGAAAAGCTCGAATGGGGACCACCTAAATTCTCTTATCGCTTCATTGCAGAACTTGAAAAAAGTGGTCTAGACCACTTTCTGCTCACTTCTAAGTCAATTGCAATCAGGTTATAATTAACTGTGATTGCTTTATTGAGGGAGCTCTGTGGGAGAAAGATGGGCAATGTCCTCCTGTGAGATAATGGCTTCTGAAAACCTGCCTGGAGGATCAGCTATGTGTTGGTTCCAACCCCACAATAAAGAACAACAACAACAATTTCTTTATTGACAATCATCAATGGACTCCCTAACTGCCAAATTCTCTAGACGCCCTTCCTTAGAGCTAATGGGATTAATTAGATGCAATATATAATTACCTAGAGATGTAAAAATAAGTGCAAATAAATG